CCCCAAACAAAGCAATAACCATGAGACAACTGGGGAAATGAGAGTGATTGGTATTAAGGAGCTGTGGTCAAGGATTTGGAGTCCCTGGGTGGTACAGAGGGGCCCTCGTGCCACCGTGGTCATGCTTGGGCTGCGAATCGCCAAGGGCAGCAGTTCTGAACCACAGTCAGCTCTGGGGGAGCGAGAGGGCTTCCGACTCCCACGAACAGGTAGGCGCAGCCTCTGAATCTCAAGGAGGCAGGTCTTCTCAGTCCTACAGTCAGAATTGACTGCAGGTAATGAGTCTGCTGGTGTAGTACAAACGTCTTTAACAAGACTGGCGAGACTGATGTTTACCCAAAACCCTCAGAAGAAAGATCTAGCAATCTGCTGCCAAAGAGCAGCCATTGAAAACCCCAGAGCACAGAACGCTTAGGGCATGAGGTTGCCGTGGTCCGTTTGACGGCAATGGGCTTGGACCAGCAATGAGGGGAGGGGAAGGTGGGGGAGAGAGGGGGAACCGATCACCATGGTCTACACATAACCTCCTCCCAGGGGGATGGACAACAGGAAAGTGGGTGAAGGGAGACATCAGTCAGTGCAAGACATGGGGAAAAAAAACAAATATATAAATATAATACATATTTATATGTTTCTGAGGGGGACTGAGCTGATACCAAAGGCTCAAGTAGGAAATTGTTTAAGAAATGGAAACAAAACACCGGAGTAATTCTGTCCTGTGTTGGAAGTGTCTTGTCTTTGGGCGCAGTATACGCAGGGTTTCGGGCTGAACTGGTTTTCCAGCGGTTGGAGAAGTGGGTGGGGTGTTGGCCTTGAGCTGACAGCTGTTGAAGTTGATGGTGGCTACGTAGGTGTGTAGTAGACTGTTCTGTCTACTTTTACCGGTGTGATCATTTCATAATAAAAAGCTTTTCAGAGATAAGCTAACTCACATCGCGAATATTTTCATCCACCTGAAGGTTAGTTTCCCAGTGATTCATTTGCCAAGAATTCTGGATTTTCACTCCGAAGTTTTACTCTATCTTAGAATTCTCAGTAGGATTCACCGCCTGGATTAAAACGAGGTTGGGAGCGGAAATGTGTAAAACACGCTGATGGGGGAAAAAAAAATGCCTTTCTTCACTAGTAAGCCCTCAACGGCCCCCAGCTGCCCTTCCCAGCAGAGCTGTGCGAAGTGGGGTCTCTGTCCGGGTTTCCTCGCTCCCCACTCCTGTCTCCACCATCCCACAAATACTGCTCCCACAGAGCCATTGATGGGTCTGTTAATCTGGGCCCGGTGGGCACTTCCCAATCCAGTTTGCCACCCGAATTACTCCCTGTATCCCTTTCTGCAGCCATGTCCTTGAAGCGCCTGCTCCCTGCACCCTGAGACTTGTCCCCACCCAAGCTCAGGCTCCTTTGCTTGGTGCTGCCCCCGCTGGTTCGTATGTGCTGGTTCCCAAGGGTGCCCTCCTCTTCCATGGCTTCAAGCACCACCCACTAGTGTCCCCAGAGTCCCAACTCCCCTGGGGCCATCTCTGCTTGGGTGTCACAAAGACCTCATGATCAACAAAGACACACCAAATGCTTCTCCCCCCAACCTCCACACATCCTCCTCCAGGGCTCTGGTCTCTTGGGTGGCACTGTCCACTAAGATGTCAACCGTTGGAATTCCCCTCAGGACCCTTCCTCTGCCTCATTATCTATATCCAGTCACCAGTCAGCTCTTCAGTGTTAGTTACCTGGTCCCTAATTTCTCAGAGTCTGTGTCCTCACCTGTAAAATGGGGGTAATAATAGTATATGCCCCCACTCGTCTGTTGTCTTAAACTGGTTCTTTCTGGCTCAGTCATGGCTGAGACGGAGTGAAACCAAATTTTTAAAAGTGGGTGAACCAAAACGGGAAAAATTAGGAGCGGATCCCTGCTAGCAACTTTATTTCCTGCTTAGAAAATAAGGGATAAAGTGGTGGGTACTGCAACGCCATCTCTTGATCGGCAGAGTCGGAAACCACAGGGCCCAGCTCAAAGACGGCACGCCAACCACTCTCCTTTCTGCGTGTGACCCTCCACAGCAAGTCTCCATCAGCCTCCGCAAAGGGGCTCATCCTGTTCCTGCTAAGGTTTCTATCCCATAGCACTCAGGAGTTTGGGCCTGCAATTTCCCCCATTGGCATTCTGCTTCACCCAACACTTGAGAAGTTCAAGTCTGTTTTAAAAAAAAAACATTCAGGTCTAGGGAAATTTTGCCTTGTTGGTAGGCACAGCGGAATTGGTGCAGACGGGCTCTCAGCCCTGGTTTGAAGCGCCGATGTGTCAAGGGCTCAGCACGGAGCCTGGCAGACCAGGTCAAACATGGAGCGCTGCCCTTCTGAGGCACCCTAGCTGGCCCCCCAGCCCAGGTCATCACCAAACAGCTGCCCTACCCTTTCCCTGCCTCCACTCAAACCCCCTCCAGGTCAGAGGAACCCCAAATCTTTCTAAATCACAGATCTACTCATCACTCCCCTGCCCTCAACCTTCCCTTGCTCCTGGTCGTCATCCCAAGTGACCACTCCTCAGAGCTTAGAGCCAGGTGCGGCCTGGTCCTGGCTTCCTCTACACGCCCCCCACCCCCCAGTCCAGTCATAATGAAGCGCTACAATTCCTCCTCCTCACTGGCTGTCACACCTTTGCTCAGGCCATGCTCCCCACCCCCTCCATGCTAGGACCGCCCCCACGCTGCCCAGCTAGCCCCGTGTGTGTTTCATTGGCTGACAGGAGACACTCCTAGACTTCTGGGCAATCTCTGAGCTTCTTGAAGGCAGAGCTGTCTTGTTCTTCCCCGTGTGGTCAGTGGCCAGCAGAGGACAGGACGGAGAGTGGGAAGAGAGGGAGGATGGACCCTGCCCCTTACTCTTGTCTGTCTTCCACCTGGTCCAATCCCAGGCTCTTTATTCACCGGCACAAGGTCATCTGCTTGGACCTGAACCCCGCCTGCACTCCCATTCAGTACCAGTGTCAGCTACCACTCAGTCAGTGCCACCCCAGCGACCCTGTGCACAGCAGAAACACTGCCCGGCCCTGTGCCAGCCTCACAATGGTTCCATGCCCGAGCCCCTTGCAGCAGCCAAGGTGGTATTCACAATCCCTAAAATTAGCACCAAAGAGTCCAAATTCCTGCAGGCACCATGTAAACCACCCCGCCTGTCTGCCTCCCAACTCCACCATGGCAGTGCCTGGGTTTCCAGAACAGCTCTACGGAGGCTCCACCACCTACCCCGCCCACCCCCCCTCTCAGCCAGGATGGATCCCGGCATGTGCGCTCCGGCATTT